TTCTGGTGCAAACGGGGCCGGATGTGAAGACGCAGAGCGAGGAAGACAACTCACTGCATCCCCAAAGACCACCAGCAGGACCCTCACTGCACGCGACGCATGCGCCACGGGGAGGGACTTTATGTAAATGAATTCCCGGAAAAATCGGGAATATGTCGATTGGCTGCAGGACATCTATTGAATACGCCCGAGCTTGGCTTACATATACGCGACGCTTCTGCTTTCTGGCACGCAAGACAGGCGGACGGATTCTCCCTCGGCTCTGGCAAGATGTGCACCGCTGAAATAAACGTGCCTGCTGCTACAACTACTTTGTGCTCGTGGAGTCTGATTCCGCAAGTCAGCACCGCCCACCTCGCGGCCGCCAGGAGCCCCGCGCTGCAGGCCGGGCCGCGGCCACCCGCAAGGCGGAGCGGGGCGTCGCTGCGGCGCTCGGAGGCGCGGTGCGGGGCGCTCGGCAGCAGCACAGCCCGCTCCCCATCCCGCCCCACAGCGACCCGAAGGCTCTCGCGCCCCCCATTAACCCCTTCCTGCCCGCGGGAATTCCGGGACCTTTTTCGGGTCACTTCGGGATGGCATTGTGCCCCTCGGGCCGTTTCGGGGATGTCCGCGGCTGTTGGGGCCGTTTCAGGGTGTTGGGCCGTGTCGGTGCAGTCTGTTGGTTGTGCTGGGCTCTAGGTGCTGCTTTGGGTGCTTTGGGAACCAGGGGCTGAGCCACGGCCGTTTGGGAGCTGTTCTCGGCAGCGTTTTGGGGTCATTTTGGGATGCTTTGGGTGCCATTTGGACCGTTTGAGGACCGTTAAGGCCCATGCTGGGCTGTGTTGGTGTCGTTTTGGGGTTGTGTTGGGGATAATTTGAGGTTATTTGGAAGCCAATAGTGTCCATTTTGAGGCCAACCAGAGCCATTTCCATTCATTTCAAGCTGTTCTGGGGCCATTTGTGACACTCATTGATTTTTTTGGATCAACTGGGGGCCTTGTGGATTCATTCGGAGTGGTTTTAGGGCCATTCTGATGCCTTTTGAGCCATTCAGGGCCATTTGTGTCTGTTTGGGCCCATTTCACATCAGTTTGGGTGACTGAGGCAGTTTTGGTCTATCAGGTCTGATCTGGGCGCATTGTGGGGCTGTTTCTGTCTGTTTTGAGTCCATTTGTTGCCATTTCTGTGAATTTGGGGCATCGTATCCCCATTTCTGGGCCAACTGTGTCCTTTTCGGACCATTTTGGCTCATTTGATGCAGTTGAGGTCCGTTTGGATCTTCCAGCTTTGGATGCTGATAAGGCATTACTTTGCTTTTAACCCTTTCTAATACTTCCAGCATCTCCTCTCGCTCCCGCCTGCTCTCCCAGCTCTCAGAACAGGACGGGCAGATCTCAGCTCCACCATCCAACACTTCCACACAATGGCAACAGGAGAGCAACAATCAGATCTGCCACAGCAGGAAGAAATGCTGCAATTCTCCGGAGAAGACAACCAATGATCCGAAAGGGGTAACAGAACAGAATCGGTGATTCTCTGCTGGTACAAGGCAGAAAAGGGCTGATGGGAAGATCAGAGCCCGATCCCATCTGCTCTCTGCACCACCAGGCTGCAAATGGAAGCTGGACAGAAGGAAAACCTTCCTTTTGCTCTTTGTGAGTGGAGTGCTGGTGGGCGTCATCATCACCCTGGTGTTTGGGAGAGGTGAGTGCCACCCAGCATCCCATTGTGGGTGTAGGATGGGGAACGATGGGGTTTCCCAGCTTCTCCCCAAGCACAGCCCCCATCCCACCTCCTGGGGCGCCCACGTGGTGCCCCAAACCATCTTCTACTCCACCTTCCCACCCTCTGCAGCTGCTGCAAGGCCATCGCCCTGTGGCCATGCATCCCAAGCCCACATCTGCTGCAGGGGAACCTTCCTTGCCTCTCACTTGCCCACCTCTCTCCCTCTCAGTGCTCCGGCATCCGTCGTGCTCACCTCGCCCACACTTCTCCCACGTCTGCCCCAACACCTGGCTCGGTTTCCAAGGGAAATGCTTTTATTTCTCGGACAACGAGAGTGACTGGAACAGCAGCAGAGAGCACTGCCAGCGCCTCGGAGCTTCCCTGGCCACCGTGGACACGGAGGAGGAGAAGGTGAGAGCGGGGCGTGAGCCGCAGTGCCAACACGGAGGTGGGAAACCCACACTTGTGGGGCCGCACCAACTGCTGGCGGTGCCCCCAGTTGGCCCCGTGCCACAGCCATGAGGAGATGCCTTTGTGGAAAGCACCAGGCTGTGCAGGCACAGTGTCACATCCTCATCTCTCCCCTCCCTGCATCCACCTGGCACTGTGCTGAGCCACGCACCTCCAGGATGAGGGCTTTCTTCACACCATTGCCAAGACAGCATTGCACCGATCCGAGTGCAGCACCTTGCAGCGAGATGGGACCTGAGATGTGGGATGGAAGGTTGCTCCAACTGGCTCACATAAAAGCACGTGGTTTTCCTTCAGCAAGCTAGCTGTGCTGAGCTCGTCAGCAGGCTGGCTCGGCTCATTGTGAGGGCTTTGAACTTGAGCTGCTGGGGTAGGGAGATGTATTGCCGAGTGATAGAAAGGAGCTGGGGAATGCTTTCACTCCAAGAGGCGTCAAGGAAAAACCTCAGATTTGTCCCATAGGTTTGTGGGAGTGCTTGTCCAGAAGGCAGTGCGCCTGGAAGCCCAGCTAAGCTCTTCTATGCCAATGTACTCGGCATAGAAAATAAGCAAGGGGAGCTGGAATCTGTGGTGCACTTGAAAAACTTTGATCTTATTGCCATCATGGAAAGATGGTGAAATGATTCACATAACTGGAACACCACCATTAAGGGCTGTAAGCTTTTTAGATGGGATAGGCAAGGTAGGAGGGGTGAGGGAGTTGCCTTGTATGTGACAGAATGGGCAGACTGCAAGGAGCTGCCTCTGAGAAGCAGTCAGGAACAGGTTGAGAGCCTGTGGATTAAAATTAGGGATGGGACCTTTAGAGGACAGCTGGTGGTCAGAGTCTACTGCAGTGCACCTGACCAAGAACAGCCTGTTGATGAGGCGTTCCTACTTCAGGTACAAGAAGTTTCACGCTCACAGGCTCTCATCCTGATGGGGATTTCAACCACCCAGATATCCGCTATATATAACACATTTAATGTATAGAAGTTACAAAACTTTTTTTTTTAATGTATTGTATTAAAACATAGAAATCAAGGAGCAACAGAAACATAGTGCTGGTGGGATGTCAGGCCTTGTTTTTGTGAAGCGAACGCTTCAGGCTGTTCCCTGGCAGTGGCTGCCATTCCCAGCGAGTTCTCATGGTGTTCATTGGAGATTTGTGATGAAATATTACGTTTCCTGCGCTTCACCCTTCACAGTCACTGTTCACAAATGCACACAGTGCCAAAAAGTGATGGCATGAACTAGATGTAACTAAAGTGAGGGTAAGAGAGGGCTTACGGAAGTCTGGTCAAGTGGACAAATTTTTCTTTGAATTGAATGTCTGATTGCAACTCTATGCATTCCATGTGAAAATTTGCAAATGATGTATTCATGTCAACCGAAAATGGAGTTACACATATACAGTAAAATGATATATATTTTTTGAAATTTTGAAACCTATTCCCAGATATCTTTTTCAAAATGGAAAGCACGGCGGCATATCTTTCAGCATTCACAGGACCAATGCATTAACATGCATTGTTAGCCAATGCATTAACATGCGTGAAAGTATTTGCCATAACTTGAGCTGCCATAATCTGAGTTTCATTTCAGATGGTTTTATTGTCTGAAACAGCAGAGATCAGGGGATTTTCACCTTGAAGACACATGCTTAGCTCATTTAAATGAGCAGTCAAATCCACCAAAAATGCCACATCTGCGAGCCATGTTTAATCTTCGAGTTCTGGCACAAGTTTTGCTTTGGATTCCACAAAGCACTTGAGCAGTGATGAATGGTGTCCCCCAGGGGTCAGTGCTGGGACAGATGCTCTTTAATATCTTCATCAATGACATTGACAGTCCCGTTAAGTGCACCCTCAGCAGTTTGCAGATGAGCAGAGCAGAGGATCGCCTCCCTCGCCCTGCTGGCCACGCTCCTTTTAATGCACCCCAGGATCCCATTGGCCCTCTTGGCCACCAGGGCACACCGCTGGCTCACGGCCAACCTGTCGCCCACCAGGACCCACAGGTCCTTCTCTGCAGAGCTCCTCTCCAGCAGCTCATCCCCCAGCCTGCGCTGATACATGCATTTATTCCTTTCCAGGTCTTGCTGAATGGTAGCATAGCCCTCAGCTGTGTTGGCTGCTCCTCCCAGCTCTGTATCATCAGCAAGCCTGCTGAGGGTGGGCTTTATGCCTTCAGCCAGGTCACTAGGCCCATCCCCAGCCCCTGGGGAACACTGCCACGTACGGCCTCCAGCCAGACTGCGCTGCTGATAACAGCTCTGACACACAACAGTGTCACCCATGGTAGCCCACCCTTTAATTCTTACCCACAGCTCTCCACTCGTTATCAATCCCCCCAAGTGGAGCGCAATGCATTCCAGTTGCTCTCTCACATAAAGAGCAGCTCCAGCACCCTGCCTCTCCAGCCTGTCTTTCCCAAAGAGGACGTGGTCATCGATGACGAAATTCCATTCACGTGAGCTGTCCCACCACGTCTCCATGATCGCAGCGAGATCACGGCCCTGTGGCCGCACACAGATCTCCAGTCCTTGCTATTTATTTCCCGTGTGCATCCTTGCTATACGGGCACTTTAGGGAAGCAGAGGGTGCAGGTATCTCTAGAGGGGTGCAAGGAGGTTTAAGTTGGGCTGTTGGCAATGTTACCTCCTCTGAGGAGTCCTCACAAAGCAGCATGGCTTGGCAAGGAGCTGCTGGGCGGGATGAGGGAAAAGAAGGGGACAGCGGGAGCAAGGATGTGTCACCTGGAGAGAATGCAGGGAAGCTGTCTGGACTTGCAGAGATGAGATTAGGAACACTGAGGCACGGATGGAACCAAACTTGGCGAGGGATGTTAAAAGAAGAAGGTGTTGTACAGGTACACGAGTCAGAAGAGACAGGACAAAGGGAGCGTACCTCCTCTGCTAAACGGGAAAGGAGAACTGGCAACGACTGCTGTGGAGAAGGCCGAGGTACTCAGAGAGGTCTTTGCCTCGGCCTTCACTGGCAGCCAGGATTCTCACATCCCTGAACCACACATCCCTGCACCTCCAGGTGGGAACTGGAGGAGCAAACTCCCCCCCCATAAGGGCAGAGCAAATCCGACCCAGCTCATGAGAATAAATCATAGAATCCTTAGAGTTGGAAGGGACCTCTGATGGCAATCTAGTCCAACTGCCTGTAATCAACAGGGACACCACAGCCCCATTAGGTTGCCCAGGGCCTGATCCAGCCTTGCCTTGAAAGTGTCTGGGGTGGGAGACTTGAATGTATACAGTGCAAGGGGCTGGATCACGTGCATCCCAGGGTGCTAAGGGAGCTGCCTGATGCGGTTGCCAAGCCGTGCAAGATCAGATCTGAAAAGTCATGGCTGTCAGGCCAAGTCCCCGGGGACCAGAGAGAGGGAAACATTGCTCCCATTTACAAGAAAGGGAGGAAGGAGGACCTGGGGAACTCCAGGCCGGTGAGTCTCACCTCTGTGCCTGAGAAGATCATGAAGCAGATCCTCCTGGAAGAGATGTTCAGGCACATGAGGGATGAGCGGATCATCTGAGTCAGCCAGCATGGCTTTAGCAAGGGAAGGTCGTGCCTGACCAACATGGTGGCCTTTTATGGGGAAGTGACAGCGTTGGTGGACAAAGGGAAGGTGACCAGCATCATCTGCCTGGACTTGTGCAAAGTCTCCATCATGGTCCTACACCACATCCTTATCTCAGAACTGGAGAGATGTGGATGGAAGGGTGGGCTGTTGGGTGGAGAAGAAATCGGTTGGAAGGCCGCGGCCAGAGGCTTGTTGTCAATGGCTCTGTGTCCATGTGCAGACCAACAGTGAGCAGTGTTCCCCAGGGGTCCACCTTGTGTCTGGTGCTCTTTAGCATCTTTATCAGTGACATCAATGATGGGATTGAGTGCAGCCTCAGCGTGTTTGCTGGTGACGCCAAGCTGAGCAGTGCAGTTGGTACAGCAGGAGGAAGAGACAGCAAGCAGAGGGACCATGACAAACTGGAAAGGTGGGCCCTCGTGAACATAATGAGGTTCAACAAAGCAAAGTGCAAAGTTTTCACCTGGGCCGAGGTAATCCTGGGGATGTATGCGGACTGGGAGATGAAGAACTCCTGGAGAGCGGCCTTGCTGAGAAGGACCTGGGGGTCCTGGCAGGTGAACATCGGAACGTGAGCCAGCAGGGGGCTGCATCAGCTGAGGGGCGGCAGCAGGGACAGGGAGGGGATGGTCCCGTGTCCAGGTCCAGAGCCTCCAGCCCTCCAGCACAGGAAAGATGTGGAGCTCTGGGAGAGGGTCCAGAGACACAAAGATGACCCAAGGCCTGGAGCACCTCCTGTATGAAGACAGGCTGAGGGAACTGGTCCTGTTCAGGGAGCTCTTTTCAGCCTGGTAAAGAAAAGGCAGCTAGGAGACCTCATTGTGGCCTTCCAATATTTAGAGGGAATTTATAGACATGAGGGAAATTGACTGACTTGTTGTATGGCTAGGTTGTGATAGTGAGGCAGCAGGCACCCCATCCCCAGTGGTGCACAAGGACAGGCTGGATGGGGCCTTGGCCACCGATCCAGTCTGTGATCTACTGGCTGGCAGCCCTGCCTGTGGTGGGAGGTTGGCACTTGGTGGTCCTTGGGGTCCTTCCAGCACAAACCATTCTATGATTCTATGATCCAAAGGCTTTCATGCTGCGGTACCAGGGCCCAGCAAACTGTTGGCTTGGGCTGCACAGGGCAGAAGGGGACGAGCACTGGATGTGGGCCAACGGCAGCGCCTTCACCAACTGGTCAGTGTGTGCGTCCGTCTGTCTGGCTGGGATCTCTGACAGGGTCTGTTTGGGATGGGCTGGGGAATATAATTTTTCCCTTTATAAGCTTTCCATGCCATGGCTGTGTGCTGGAATCTGCCTCTTTCCAGCAGTGCTGCAGCTGTTCCCGCATGAAACCACGCAGCTCTGCTGCTCGTTATCTCTCAGAGAAGATGTTTAATTGCACTGTGCCTTAAAGGAAGGGTCCTTTGAGGGTCCTTAGAGGTCACAGCCCTGTGGGACGGTTGGGTGGGCAGGGTGAGGATCGCTGCCCCCGCCCCCTGGAGCTGCCAGGACCTGGAGCAGCGCAGCCAGCAGTGTGAGCACAGCACAGAGCAGCGCTGCGTCCTGCAGGGCTCAGCCAACGTTTTGTGTTTTTGATTTTATTCTGTTCGGTTCTTGCCACACACACTGTTGTTGTTGTTGTGGTTGTTCTTTCATGGAAATAATGATCTAATCTTGTGCTATTTCAATATATGTATCTAACGTAATATTATATACAACAGAGAACAGGAGGCGGAGCCTCCACCAGCAGATCCTCCAGCAGCCGCACAGGAAGGAAGGCGTCAGATGGGACCTCAGCGTCTGCAGAGGAGACCCCCAGCCCCGGGCAGCCCATCCCAGCGCGCTCTCCAGGAGATGTCTGTCTGTTTGGTACTGGGAGCCCAGAACTGGACGCAGTGCTCCAGGCGAGGCCCGAGCAGGGCAGAGCAGAGGGGAGGATCACCTCCGTGCCCTGCTGACCGTTACCGCAGCCCGGGACCCCGTCGGCCCTCTTGGCCACCAGGGCCATGACAGCCCCTCCTCCCTCGGGGCCCGGGGGGAGCCCCGCACCTCCGCGCTGCTATGGGAGGAAGAGAGCGACGGAGCGCTTCCCCGCAGCGAGAGGTGACGATCCAGCCGGGAGACGGAGAGCGGCAGCGGCAGTGGGGTAATGCCGGGAGGCAGCGGGAAAGGGCCGAGCGGGGAAAAGAGCCCGAGCCCACGGGAGGGAAGAGAGCGGCGGGAGGGAGCGGGGAGCTGCGGCGAGAGTGCGGGAGAGAAGGAGCGTCCGAGTGCGGGAGAAGGGACGGGCAGCGCGGGCACAGCGCGAGGACGGGGCTGGGATGGCAGCGAGAGCGTCGGAAAGGCAGCAGCCCGCAGTGAGCTGCGGGTGGGCGCCGCAGGGAGGGCCGGCAAAGAGCGTGTTCACATACAGTACAAACTTCACGGCTAGATACTGATAGGAGCTGGGGTAATAATGTCTATAAAGCAAAGGAGGTTGGATTCAGTTTTGATATCGGGGAAGCTGTTTCCTGAGGGAGTGGTTGTGGGAAACGTAAGGAAAAACTGCTCAGAGCAGCAGCTGTGGAGCAAGACAAGGCATGAGAACCAAGGACGCCTTTAGAAGAAGAATGAACATCTCACGGCTCTGACTGGCTGAGCGCCTGTGTCTGCGGTCGGGGGGTGTTTCGCAGGATGCTCTGTTAACATGTATAAATGGAGTAGTGCTTAAGAATGCTTTTAAGCACATTGGTGTGCTGTTATGTCTCCGATCGTGTTCCTGAAAGTCCACAGACTTCCCCACAAGCGGCGAGGTGCTGGCACAGCTGCCCTTACGGGCTGTGGATGCTCCGCCCCTGGCTGCGCTCCAGGCCAGGCTGGATGGGGCCCTGAGCACTCCGATCCAGGACGAGATGTAACGGCTGGCAGCGCTGCCTTTGGAGAGGGTTTGGCATGTGGTAATCCTTGGGGTCCTTCCAACCTACAGGCAGTCAACTGCACGCAGTGCCTGAGAAGGTTATGGAGGAAATTACCTGGAGAGTGAACACGTGGCATGGATCATAGGATCATACAACCATAGGATGGCCTGGGTTGCAAGGGACCACAGTGCTCATCTGGTTCCAACCCCCTGCTGTGTGCAGGGTGGCCCACCAGCAGACCAGGCTGCCCAGAGCCACATCAGCCTGGCCTGGAATGCCTGCAGGGATGGGGCATCCACAACACAGCAGCACAGAATTGTAGGGGTTGGAAGGGACCTCCAGAGATCATCCAGTCCAACCCCCTGCCCAAGCAGGTTCCCTACACCAGGTTGCACAAGCGGGTGTCCAGGCAGGACTTGAATATCTCCAGAGAAGGAGACTCCACAACCTCCCTGGGCAGCCTGTCCCTCGTCAGGGGGGACTGCAAGTCTCAGGAGGATCAGTGCAGGGGCAGACAACATCCTCTGGGTAAAGGTGGCCCTAAGGCTGGGTTCTCCTTCTCTGGTTCTGCCCTTTGGTTAAGGCCTTTGGGAGAAGCACTCGTGGGTCGGGCTGGGCAATGCAGCGTGCACGGCAGTGAAACTGTATCGGCCCTGAAGGCACTAAAGTGGTCATTTATGTCAGCACGGGATGGAAAGCGAGGAGATAAGTAGGAATACACACATTGTTGTACATGCCAGGTTCTCCAAAACCATTACTTGGGCACGACGTCGTAGAACAGTTGAATGTGGGGAGGAAACTCAGAAGAGAAGATTGGAGCAAAGTGTCAAGCAAGAGCAATTGACTGAAAATTTTAAGTCTGGCTTTAACACAAACTGGGAAAAACAATGTTGTACCCCCAGAAGTTATGTAAATCCTAAATCAGGTAAACACAGGATTGCAGGCATCAGGAATGCCTGGCAGAGCCAAAAATGCAGCCCAATGAAAGTTAAGTTAAAGCCGGGAGCCAGCCAGCCAGGGTAAAGCAGTGGCCTTTGAGGACACGAGACTGTAGGAGGATTACAGAAATAATAAATAATTTCTGGGATTTTGGATTAAGAATTGGATAGGATTCCAAACACAGCACCCCAATCCTGCCAATGAACAATTGGATGGCAAGACCTATAGTTTGGTACAAGACTTGAGAGCAATGAATAGAAACACAACCCATGGTGGCAAATCCATG